GGGGACACACCGGAGATGGGGGGCACACCGGGGGCACACCGGAGATGGGGGCACACCGGGGGCACACCGGAGATGGGGGCACACCGGAGATGGGGACACACCGGGGGCACACCGGAGATGGGGGCACACCGGAGATGGGGACACACCGGAGATAGGGGCACACCGGGGGCACACCGGAGATGGGGGCACACCGGAGATAGGGGCACACCGGGGGCACACCGGAGACGGGGGCACACCGTGGGTGCACCGGGGGCACACCGGGGGCGGGGGGGGGTTACACCGGAGCACACCTGGGGGGGATCAGAGGACACCTGGGGCACCGGAGCCCACGGGAATCCGCCCCGCCGGCGTCTCCCGCTGGGCACGGCACGTTTTCCCACCCTGCGTGGTTTTTTTTGGGTTTTTTTGCCATGTTCCTGATGTTTTCCCGTGTTCCTGATGTTTTCCCGTGTTCCTGATGTTTTCCTGTCTGTCCTCACTCCGGGGTTTGTTCCCCCCGCGGGTCCCGGTGCAGCCCCCGCCCCTTTCCCCTTTTCCGAGGGTCCCGGTGGTCTCACTCCAGGATTTCACTGCCGGCTGTGCCGGAGTCTCCCAATCCATGAGGAATCCTCTTCCCTCCCTCTCCCTGCCTTGCCACAACCTTCCACCCCTCCGGATCTTCCTGCTCCAGCCTTTTGATCATAGTGTATTCTTTTTCTTTGTTTGTTTTAATTTTAATTTTAATTTTAATTTAATTTTAATACTTAGCCCCTTTTTTGGGGCAGGAAATCTCTGCCCAAAAACCTGGAAAAGCAGCTCCATTATCGTGGTCCATGGGATTTCTGGGCCTGCCATATCACTGTCCCATCTTGCACCTGCATCCCACCAGAAATGATGGGGAGGACACCTACAAACCCCCAGACTGCCTCTTTTAGCCCAAATCCTTTAATAATCATCATTTTGATGGAAAAGAAAGTGGAATTGTAGGTGGGAACGTGGGGATAGACTCCGTTTTCTTGGTCGGCTGAGTCATCTGGGCTTTCAGCTTCCACCCGTGCTTTCTGCAGGAGAAAAGAACGGGATTTTCCAGGCGTCCCGGTGCTCAGTGAGGAACGGGGCGACCCTCTGCAGGGAGAGAGCCCCGAGTGGTGCAAGGCAGCCCTGGACGTGCAGACAGGAGCGACGGAGGGAGGGAAATCGGAATCTCGGGATGGTTGGGTGGGAAGGGACCCCAAATCCCCTCCAGTGCCACCCTGCCCTGGCAGGGACACCTCCCACTGCCCCAGGCTGCTCCAGCCCCGGTGTCCAGCCTGGCCTGGGCACTGCCAGGGATGGGGACGCTGAGCGGGTCCCCGGGAGCTGCGCCTCACCCTCTGCCCTCGGGCCATCCCCGGAGCTGGGAGGAGCGGAGGGAGCGGCCGGGTCTCCTCTGGGCAGGGATGGGAATTCCCAAATGCGCTTTTCCCTGCCCCATCCCCGTGTGCAGCCTGGAGCGCCCCGGGGTGCCCGGGGCTGAGCGGGCCCTGGCACCCGGATCCCCTGAGCCGCCGGCAGATGCTCCCCGCGGGACGGCGGCTCTGCCGCTCCGGCCGCCGGTGCCGCTGCTCGGGGAACGCAGGCACTGACTTCCAGACAAAGCCCCAGCAACGAGCTGCGGCAATCTCCAGGGATAATGGCATTCCCTGCTCTGCTGCCTCCGTGTCCCTGTTCCCGTGCCCTTCTGTGTCCCTGTTCCCTCCGTGTCCCTATTCTATTCCCTCCCAGTCCCTCTTCCTGCGCCGCTCCATGTCCCTGTTCCACCTTCTCCGTTCCCCTCGTCCCTCCATGTCCCTGTTCCACCGCCTGTGTCCGCGCTCCGTCCCCTCCACATCCTTGCTCCACCCTCTCCCTGTCCCTGTCCCCGTGTTCCCCCTGTCCCCGTGTCCCTCTGTGTCCCTGTCCCCGTGTCCCATTCCCAGCCGCGCTGCTGTCACTCCGCTGGCGGAGCAGGTCCCCTCCTTCCTCCCGCTCCTCCCCACTGTCCCCGCGGGGTGCCTCTCCCGTGTCCCTTCCGAGCTCCAGTCCCCAGCAATTCCCGGTGCCAGCCGGCAGCGGGGACCAGGACCCGCTGTCCCCGGTGCCAGCCAGGGCTCTGCACCCCCTCCCGGCAGTGACACCGGAGAGCAAAACCCCAAAACCCCTCTGGGCACCGCCGGTGGGATCGGGGACGGGGTGCCGGAGAGGGAAGCGGGCCCTGAGCCCCGAGAGGAGCGGGTCTGCCCCAGCCACGGCCCGGTCTGCACGGGCTTCTCCCGGTTCCGCCCTCTGAACAGCCCGGGGACACCGAGAGGGAGACGGGATGGGATGGAGGCTGCATGGGAATGGGGATGAAGCTGGGGAATGGGATTGGGAATGGAAACGGAGATGGGATGGAAGTGGAGGAGGAGATGGGATGGAGATAAAGGCAGAGACGGAGAAGAAGCAGAGATGAAAGCAGAGAAAGAAAGAAAAAATGCTACACAGATGGAGATGGAGATGGAGATGGAGACTTGGGACACCCACGAATACGGAGGCAAAAATAAAGATGGAAGGAGATATGAAGATGCAGATGAAAATGGAGAGGGATGTAAAGGTGAAGGTGACGATCTGCTCAGCTGGATCCCTGCGCCCGGCAAACTCCCCGCCGAGCCGTGGGGAACACCTCTCCCGGCCGAGCTGCTGCCGTGAGCGCCTTTCCTGGGACACGCCCTCCCTTTGGGACACCGGAGCTCTGCGCTCCCCTCCGCAGCCCCCGGTGTCCGCGACACGCCCTGATCCTGCCCGGGACAGTGGGGACCGGGTCCTTCATTCCTTCTTGCCTTCCTTGCCTTCCTTGCCTTCCTTGCCTTCCTTGCCTTCCTTTCCTCCTCTCCTCCTTTCCTCCTTCTCTCCTCTCCTCCTCCTCTCCCCTCCCTTTCCCCGCTCCCGGCTCCAGCTGTGGTGGCCGGCGCTGGCAGCAGGGGACACTCGGGTCGCCGCCAGCCCCAGGGGTGTGCTGGCATTCCCGGCCCCCGGCCGCTCCGGGGGGAGCGTCCCCAGCTGTCCCCGGGTGCTCAGCAGCCTCAGAGTCCCTGCAAAGGCTCCTCCCTGAGGAGCAGGGAGCGGTCACAGGGGCACAAATGCAGCTGCTGGATCCTCCCTCCACCTCTCCGGAGCTCTGTCCCCACCTCTCCATGTCCCCAAATCTGTCTCCACCTCTGCCTTTGCACCTCTCCAACCTCCCTGATGACACCTCCACACCTCTCCAGCTCTCCGTTTCCCGCTCTCCCTCATCTCCTCACACCTTCACCTCTCCACCTTTCCATGTCTCCATGATTCGGTCTCCACCTCTCCATCTCTCCATGTTAGCTTTTCTCCATTTCTGCCTTTTCACCTCTCTGTGTCCTGACGTCTCCATGTCTCCCCCCTCCAGATCGTCACCTCTCCGAGTCCCAACACCTGTCCCCCGTCTCCTCCTCATCTCCTCCTCTCTTCTCTCCATTTCACCGCCTCTCCATCTGCGCCTCTCCCGTGCCCTCTTCTCCACCTCCCGACTCCATCTCTCCGCGTCTCCAGCTCTCCATTTCCCCATCTCTCATCATCTCTGCCCTCCACGTGTCCATCTCTCTTCCCACCTCCCCACGTCCTCCCCGCTCCACCTCTCCCCGTTCCCCCTGTCCCTGTCCCCCGCTCTCCTCCCGCCTTTCCCCGTCCCGGTTCCGGTGCCGGGGGCCGCAGCAGCCACCGCGCCCGAGCCGCGCCGGGGACGCAGCGCGCTGCGCCCGCCGCCGCCGCCTCCCCCGGTCCCGCGGGGCTCCCCCGGCCCCTCCGAGCTCCGGGCGGCTCCGGGGGCTCCTCCCGCCGCCGGGGCAGCGCGGGGCCGGCCCGGGAGCGGCGAGGAGCCGGCCGGGGCCGTGCGCACCGGAGCTCGGCGCGCCCGGTCCCGGCGCGCACGGCCCCGGGGGCGGCCCCGCCGCTCCGGGGCCGGCCCGGAGCCCCCCGCGCCGCCCCCCGCCCGGGCCCGGGGACAAGGGGCCAGGGGCGGCTCCGGCCCTCCCCGCCCGGTGCCGAGCCCCGCGCCCCGCTGCCCGCGGCCGCGTTACGCACGGGGCTCGCCCGCCCCGGGGGCTCCACCGGGGCTCCCCCGGGGCCGCGGCGGAGCGGGGGGGTCCCGGGCGGCCGGCGCGGAGCGGGGAGGTCCCAGCGCCGGCTGCCAGCGCTCCCCGCGCCGCCGGCAGCCCGAGCCCCACGCCGGGGTGCGGGACAGCCGGGGCGCCCCGCGGGCGGCGGGGGGGCGGCGCGGCGGCTCCCGGGGGCCGGGGCCGGGCCCGGGCCCCGCAGGGCCGTGGTTAATATGTAATTCGGAGCATATGGTATTTTCCAAAGGCGGGCAGTAGTGCGGAGCCCGGGGGCCGGGGCCGGGGTGCAAATAACGCTGGATGACTCGCGGGGCCGGGCGCGGAGGGCCACGGTGATGGGCTCCTCGCTGGCTAATATTTGCTCTTCAAATATTTTACTTGAAACGTTTACAACGTTGGGTTTTTTTTAATCTTCCAAGAAGGGGCCATCTGTGCCGGTGCCTCGCCTGGAGCACACCGGGGAGTCCCCGCCGGGGCCCAGCCGCCACCCCGGGGGCCGCCTTCTATTTGTTCAGCACCCAAAATAAATTAGATCGATGTAATAAAAGCGAAGGTGGATTTATGATTGAACCCCATATGGCCCTGTTTGCTTTGCGGGAGAGACGCGGGAGCGAAGCCCCTCGGGGGGCTCCGGCGGGGGATCCCCGGGGATGCTCCGGGGCGCGGGGACGCGGCGGAGCCGTGCTGTCCGCCGGCCGCAGGTGCTGAAACACCGGCGCTCAGCCGGCACCGGCTCCGTGCCCGGCCGGGGGGC